TAGATAGATAGATGATAGATAGATAGATGATAGATAGATAGATAGATGATAGAGATGATAGATAGATAGATGATAGATGACAGACAGATGATAGAGAGATAGACACCTAGATTGATAGATGATAGACAGACAGATAGATGATAGATAGATAGACAGACAGAGTCATAGCTGTAGAATTCTTAGTTTTACATATTTATATCCATAAATTGAACAGCAATAGGGAAAGACATCTTGGGGAACCAAGCTACAAAATACCTAGACCTCATTATAATGTCAGCCATGTTTCAAGGAAGGACATACTGTCGTGTCTTCATTCCCAAAGTAAAAATGACCGTGGAGCATAGATAGCAGCATGAACTAGAAGAAGTGACCGCTGCGTGGTATTTAGACTTAACTCAAGTATTTCTTAATGATACTGTCACATAAGTTGTAACTTGGAGTTGAGAGGCTAGAAATTGACCCTAAGTTAAGTGTATCAATCTTGTTTTAATTAAAGCTAAGACAAGTGATTGTAGACATGGGCCAGTCTTGGGACATGGCTTAGATGGTCCTTAGTAGTTAAACTCAGATATTTTAGTTTTGATTTCTAATTTGGGCTGATATCATTTTGCCAGTGAAAGATCTGGGGTAGGTCAAGTAATTTCTAAACTGAGAAGGTGAGGTCCCACAGTTTTTTTTTTTTTTTTTTTGCCAAAGTCAAGAGAGCAAATGATAAAGGCACATCTTAATTTTATTTATTATGCGATAAGCTTTTATCATTTCAACTTTTTGAAGATGGAATTTTTGAAAGGATGTTCAGCTTATAACATTCCAGTGCTGTCTTGAGCCTCCCTGAGATCTTTCTCATGCCAGTTAATTTGGTCTTTTTTATTTATGGATTTTGATATCACCTTTGACCTTCCCTCTTTCAGAATATGAGGGTCTGTTCATTTTCCTGGATAGACTCATCACTCTAGAGCTCTCACCCAGGAATTCTGAGTAGCTGCCTTCTGGTTCCCCATCATGTGATTACTATAGTGATGTGTGGGTTAAGTATTATTTTGATGGAGTGGGTAGCTCCCAGGAGGCCAGCAGAGTGCTTATATAGTTTTAAACCATTTGGATTAAAGCAGTCAGTGTGTTGAGAAAAGTCCTAGACAGTTCAACTTCAAATGATAGAAAAACTAAGATAATGTTTTCTTTGGCTTCTGGCCTGATATATTCTCTCTCTCTCTCTCTCTCTCTCTCTCTCTCTCTCTCTCACACACACACACACACACACACACATACACACTCACATTTGGCAGGTTGTTTTTTTTTTTTTCCCTGTTGTGGTTCATTAACTTTTATCTCTATGAAAGAATATTTTATTTACTTATTCAGAGGCAAACCTTTCAATCTGAAGGAAAACATGTTTACTTTGCTGTATTAGCAGTGTCACCAGATTTGGCCAAGTCTTACCCACCATGAGGGTATCTGGCTCTATAACCTGAATTGAGGTGGAGATATGTTGAGATTTGGGTGAAAGGACTTGAAGAATGCGAGGAGAGAGCAGCAACAGCACGAATTCAGAAAACAGACTTACCTCACTGAGTCAGTATGCTGCAGTATGGCCTAGAGTGAAGTATTTATCTCCCAAGCACAAGCCCCCACGTTACATACCTCTCATTAGTCTTTCTTGGATACAGATCTCTGTAGCTGATTGGGTTTCCTGACACGGAGCTGTTCTCACTTGTAGTGCAGGGGATGTAGTACAATCCAAGATGGCAGAGAAATTAGAAACTTAGAAGCAAGTAGCTCTTTTGGATTACATTTTATCAAGGCTATGATCTTGAAGTGGCTTTAGAAATCTCTAGAACCCAGAGGTATGAAGTCACCTCAGTTGCTATGACCTACCACACCTTTGACAAATGCTTTCACTGTGGAACAGGTTGGCACTTTAATGAGCTTCTTAAAGGCTCAAAACTGTCAACTGAGTTGGACACACTGCTATCTTGTCCACTGCATTAAACTATTAAATAGCTCTCTTCCTGTTCTCTTTCAACTCCACAGGCCCCCTATGTGCTAAGAAATGAGGTTCTCCACATCAGCAGAGGAGAGCGGACAACCATCACCACTCAGCTGCTTGACATCCGGGATGATGATAACCCACAGGATGTGGTTGTAGAAGTGCTTGATCCTCCACTTCATGGCCAGTTGCTCCAAACACTTCCGTCTTCTGTAGCCCCTATCTATCAGTTCCGTTTAGATGAGCTCTCCAGGGGCCTGCTTCTCTATGCTCATGATGGCTCAAACAGCACATCCGATGTTGCGGTACTGCAGGTCAATGATGGACACTCCTTCCAAAATATACTGTTTCGTGTGAAGAATATGCCCAAGGTAGGTATCATTTCTAGGGTTTCAGTTTTCATGTGCCTACATGTGAAAGTTCACTTATGTATATATTGTCTTTTTTTTGAGACAGGGTCTCCCTGTAGCTCCAGCTGTCCTGGAACTCACTAGATAGAGCAGGCTGGCCTCAAACTCACAGAGCTCCACCTGCCTCTACCTCCCAAGGGCTGGGGTTAAAGGCATGCACCACGATGCCCAGACGATATTTTTTTTTTATTTTAAAATTTTTATTTGCATTGTTTGTTTTTAAAAAAATAACATTATCAGCCGGGTGTGGTGGCACACGCCTTTAATCCCAGCGCTCGGGAGGCAGAGGCAGGTGGATCTCTGTGAGTCCAAGGCCAGCCTGGTCTACATAGTGCGTTCCAGGACAGCTGGAGCTACAGGGAGACCCTGTCTCATAAAGACCATAAAAAATAAAAATAAAAAAATAACATTATTGCATTAAAAAGTACTTCATATAGGTAGGAGAATTTGGGAAAAGAGTGAATGCCAAACTTGCATTAGAGCAACAGTGATAAATTTCACAGTATTGTTGAAGCTTAGTAATTAATGCTCAAAACTTTTCTGTACCTAAGCCTCAAAAAATAGTAGACATATTTTTGCAGTACTCACAAAATTAGCCTGATATTCATTCAACTGTTCAAACAATTTGTTAGATGTTATATAGGTGCTTATTAAGTATCTACTATATAAGGTCAGGGTAGTTTGTTAGGATCATTGTCAATATGAAGATTCTTCATAAAACGAGACACACAAACCATCTTTTTTGGTCTGCTGCCATTAAACTGCGCTGTGAGGATCCTTTTGTCTCTCCTGCCTGAACATGACCATGAGGACCAAGGCAGCTCTGTTTTTGTCTCCTTCAGAGAGTGCTCACGAAATGGGACACTCACTGTCAAGTAATCTAAATGAGCGGAAAGGAGTAAGTTCAAACATTTCATTCGCCTAAGTGAAGTGGGAGGGAAGAACGTGAACACAGACTTGGTGTCCCCAGGAGCACTTGCTCCAGGCGGCAGGCACAGGCTTTTCGTTCCGAGCCATCTTTTCATGTTTTTGCCACAAGCACTTGCACTATCAGTAGCTGAACATTTCATTGATGTTTTTCATTAAGTCAACTTGCTTTTTTATTGTGGTCTCTGCCTAATCAATACTACTTGTAAAATCATGAGCTTAGTGTAGAATTATACTTTTGCTGAAAGAGTAAAACTAATATGTAACCATTTTATAAAATTTTATCTAAACACTGCATCAGATATTCTTAGATACAGCCAATGGTGATATTTACCACATCTTAGGAAATTCTGAGCTAACCTACACTGGGGCAAACAGGCCTCCCAGGAAACATTTTCCAAAACTTGCTGTTATTTCACTGGAAACTCCTTACTCAGTTGTATCACAATTGGCTCTTTCCCATGGTAATAGATTGAAAACTTGTAATTTTTTTAGCTTTTCATTCTAAATATCACTACCTGTGGAGATGTCATTAGTGATTAGTTACAGTGGTAGTTTTGCTGAGGACAATGTAAAATCGCTGTCGTTTTCTCACTGGTGATCACTCAAGATGGACGGTGTTCCTGCAGGGGAACAGAATGGTCTGCTAACTAGTTATCTTCTCTCATCTTCAAGAGGAGAAATGATGACAGGAGAGAGATGGAGTTCGGGAAGGCTGATTGTGAGGCAGTGCTGGCAGGTGGGCACCTTGTAGCTAACCCTAATTATCACGCACTCACGATCACCCTTGAAGATGAGGCTCCGTTCTGGGGAGATGAAGTCTAGACAGACATGGAAAGTTTTCTTTTCTTCCTTCCTGGATTCCTTCCAAAGTTTGCAGTGGGTTTCAGCGCAGTTCTCACCACTGACTTTCCTATCACAGTTTCGATCTCTGCATTTGGAACTCAGTTTAGTGCGTTGCACAATCATTTTGTGGGGGATGGCTCAGGATGAAAGGGCATTTCTAGGATTTTTGTTGCTCTAACTAGCAAAACAAAACAGAAAAATAAAATGTAATTCACAAGTGAGGCATAAGACACAGACTTCAGAATCCTTGCAGTATTTGTACCTCGTGAGACATCCCAGTATTTACTGTGTCTGTTGGTGAGTCCTGAAAAGCAAGTTTAGGTTATCCCTCCTCCTTTCATCCTCCCATCTCACCATGTCCTTTACTGCAGTGGTACCTAGCCAGGTAGTGCTCTGTACATGGATAGGACAGATAATGACACCAGTGTACAGACCCTCAACATATTCAGTGCATGCTAATAATCAATTTGACTGTAATCATGATATTAGTATGCAAATAGATACTACTTTTTGATTTAGGAATTAAAATTTTTTATATCTTTTCTCTTTGCCTTTAGGATTTCTTGGTGAGGAAGGGTTAAAATACTGGCTCTGTGGCCTCATTTCTTCTAAAGGAATTATAGCACAAGTCGAAGATGTTTTGTTTAGTTTTTTAAAATTTATTGGACACTAAAACTTTATGTGAATTATTCCTCTTGATCTTCCCGTTCATCCTGTGATGTTTGTACAATTATCTCTAATTTACCAAAAGAGGAAACTAAAACACAAAGAGGTTTAGAAACATCCATTTTCACAAAGGTGTTTGGAGCCAGAGCTGGGATCCCTTTTGAGTGTGCCTGCCGCCCACACTTTGCCAAGAGCCCCTTTTCATTCTAGCTCGGAGTTTTCAATATTCTCAGCGTCTATCATCTCGTTCCCTTGATGGACAGAATGAAGACAATAATTTATTCTTTTCTCAGTGCCCTATCCAAGCAAGCTGGGCCCCACACCTCCTGGAATCTTCCCTCTGGACTCACCACAGCTTGCTACAAGAAAGACTATTTATAATCATAGGTCTTTGGGGCCTAAGAAAGAAAACTGGCCTTACCTGTTACCGTGTCTGGTAGACTTGTGGTTGGATATGATTTGTTTCATTCTAAGAGCCATTTCTGAAGATGGGCATGAGAGTTCTTTCCCTGAGGCTGCCTACCTGTTAAATGTGGAGACAGGTCAGTTACTGGCTGGTGTCTAGTTGGTGGCTTTAATGGAATGGACCAGGGATTTCTATTTAAGTTCTTGTGAATAGACCTACAAGTAAAACCCAGTATTGCTCAATGGAAAACTTAGACTGTTTTCTATTCTTTCACATAGGAAATAGAGATGGAAGCTTTGTGTAAAGAGGGACTAATTTAATTTTATTGTCTTGAGCAGGGCACATTGTAGGGGTTCAGTATGTTTTTGTTGGGTGGGGAGGGTGAGCAGAACTGTGCAATGGCTTGGGGGAGGTGAGTGAAATCTGTCTGCCTCCCAGGCTGTCTGTGTCAGGTAAGAAATGCTCAGGACATCTCTGCTGATTCTGGGGTGGCTTGTGTGGGCTGAGCAGAACTATCAGTTCAGCTCTATTTTTCTAGTTGTACACTACTTCCCCTAACCATGGCCTGGCAGTGCATAAATCTGACTGCTATCTCTAGGGCTGGGGTGGCTTGTGTGGGCTGAGCAGAACTTCCCCTAACCATGGCCTGGCAGTGCATAAATCTGACTGCTATCTCTAGGGGTATGCTGAGCTACCCAGGAGAAAATAGAACCTGGAATGATGTTGAAACGTGTTCTGTTGGGGCAGGAGGCTGAGGAGAAAAAAGATGGGAAAAAAAAAAAAAAAAAAGAATTCTCTGCTGAACAGGCTTTCATTAATTGGGTGACTCACCAAACTCAAGCCTGCTAGAGATATGCTTCTAACAGTGCTCATCTAAGGGCTAAATTATGGGAAGAGAAGAGTCAGCTCAGCGGTGGGCATCTCTTCTGCTGGGTTTTCAAGAATTACCTGCTTTTCCATTAGTTAAGGTGCCTGTGGAAGTCGTGACTTTTTCCCCGCTTTGGCAACTAATCTGGTGATCTTCCTGGTCTCCTTCGAGCAGTTCTTTTCTGCAGCTGGGCAAGGCTTTAATGTTTAAAGCTCCCAAACACCATAGTATGAATTGAATGGAAAATTCTGTCTCTGAGAGTCCCTTCTCCTGTGGAATTGCCTGTGCACAGCTACAAAGCCCTACTGTGTTCCTCTTCATCTCACACATGCCTCTCACTGGAGACCCTACAGAGGATAGTCTGATGCAATGTTTTTTGTGAATTTCAAATGGCAATGGTATAAAAATGTTTAATTTTATGAATCAGAGTCTGTTTCACAAAGAAATCCTTGCCACGTGTTGGAGTTCCCCTTTTGGGGAGGTGAAGAGCTTATTTAGCTTGTTCAATTCAATGTCTAATAAAGTACATCTAGAAAATGTCTATTGCTGTAACTATTGAGATTTATACCAAGCGAGGTTGTATGTCCCTGAGCAAGCTTCTAAGCTCGTATTAACAAGCACAAAACCATCCTAATGATCTTTTTTCTCTTCCTGCTGGTAAATTTCACTTCATACCTTCCAAACCACTTATTTTTTCCCTCAAGTCCAAAATCATCTGTGTGATTAAAATTTTAAATCTATGGTATAAATGACCTCTTGAAAATTCAGGTATATTTTTACAGAATAAGTAAAAAAGACAGGGCCACTATTGTATTCAACCAAAGTCATTTTCTAAATAGTAGAGTTTTGACTACTTTGATCTGAAATATTTTGGCCCAGAGCTGGTCTATGCTATTGTTTGAGTTGAAGTTTTATTATTTATGACTCAGCCTTCAATTATGGTTTGTGAGATGTTTTCTCTAAAGGATGGAAGCTTGTAGCCTTACTGTGGTTCATAACATTAATATTTTTACTCCTAGTACAATATGAAATGGCTGAACTTTATTACCAGCATTTTTATCCCTATTATTCTATGAAATGAATTAGAAGAACTATTTAAAGCACTATTTTAATCATGCCCTCAATTTTACTCTTTGGGATTTCATTGCCTACTAATGTACTTTAGAGAATACATAAAGCATCACTGGGCAGGAGATTGTTCAACTAGTAAAATAGCTAATTTATTGAGCTGATTGGAGTATGTGTACCAATGTGCAGGAAAAAACTGTAAGGAGAAAAAGAATTCCAAAATGTTAGAAATTTGGGGAAAATTAAGTTTTGGCTTTTTGCACATTTTAGCTATAAAAAAGATATGTTATATAGCTTTCTGCTGATCTCTTCTTGAATATTTCTCTTCCCTCTCCCCAAAAAGACACAATAAAAACAACCATCCTCATGACAAATGGAAAATGTATACTTATTTTTCAAAAATGCTTCACTGGGTAAAAACATGAAAAGCTCTACATATTTAGTATATCGAACATGATGGATCTGGAGATATGAACACAGTATGAAGTCATCACTACCTCAAAGTCACAGATACCATCACTTTCCCACGTTTCCTCCTGCTCCCTCTACCATTGTTACTTATCTTTATGGTAAGAAGACTTAACATAGGCTCAGCAAGTTTTAAGTGATCCACAAGCATTAGTAGCTATAAGCTGTGTTGTATAGATTTCCAGAATTTATTTTGTAGAACTGAAACTTTATACCACTTGACCATTAGCTCCCATTTCCCATGTTTCCTGCCCCAAGTCAACCAGAGTCAACTCTCCTATGAATTTGACTATTTTAGATTCCACGGATAAGTGAGATCATGCAGCTTTTGTCTTCTTCCTGTGTCTAGCTTATTTCTTTTAGCTGAATATCTTCCAAACCCATCCACGTTGTCACAGTACAGGATTCCCTCCTTTTGAAGGCTGAGTAATATTCTGTTTTTCTTTGTGATTTGACAGTTTTTGGTAATTGAATGCATTGATTTCTGTTTCCTTTTTTCTATGTCTTCTGTGGGTTTTGTGATTTCCATGAAGATTGCATAGACTTACTGTTGCAATAATCCATTTTAAGCTAATAGTAACTTGGGTTTAATCACATATAACTTTCCACTTTTACTTCTCTATTACCCCCAATATTTTGATATTTGTGTCACAATTTATTTTCTTTATCTAATTAATCCACTAACAGATTTTTATGGTGTAATTATATTAATACTTTTGTCTTTTACATTTTTATATTAGAGTCATATCAAACAATGTAAAAGTCATGCAAGTAAACACACACACACACACACACACACACACACACACCACTGTATTGTGTATGGGAATAACAGAAAGGAAAAAGGTCTGTACATGTTCAGGATAGGCAAATTTTTTTTCTGAGTGTTTCCAATCAACAGTTGGTTGAATCCATAGATTTAGAGCCTGTAGGTGCAGACAGACAACTGTACCTTCTTCTGCCAGTGAGTTTTCTACTTCCATTTGTTTTCACATTGTTGATCAGCACCCCTTCATTTCAACTTGAAGAACTCTAGCATTTCTTATGAGACAGGCCAAGTCGTAAACTCTGTTAGCTTTTGTGTGGAAAAGTCTTTATCTCTCCTTCATTCCTGAATGACAGCTTTGCTATTGAATTATTGTTGGTTTGCACTTTTATTCTTTGATTATTTTTATTTTGTTTGTTTATAATGTGAAGGCTTCTTTGGATTCAATTCACTTGGTCTTCGGGCTTCATTGATTGGTCTGAGTATTTCTTCAGACTTGGGGTATTTTTTGTCATCATTTCTTTGCATAAGGTTTTCGCTCTTTATTCCTCCGCTCTTCTTTTTGTTCTTCAGACTGGATCATCTCAAATGATCTGTTTTCAGGTTCATCAATTCTTTTTTCTCTCAGTGGGGCCTGCTGTTGAAGCACACGAGTCTTTTATTTATTTCATTCATTTTATTCTTCAGCTCCAGAATCTCTGCTGCTTTTTAAAATGCTTTTTGCCTTTGGTGAACATCTCATTGCTTCCGTGATGTGTGTTTTGTCTTCCCTGTGTCCACTTGTCTCTCCTGCTTCTTTGATGTTGCTGTCTTACATCTTTTGCTCTGCAGTCATAGACATCCGTTTCTTTAGGGCCAGCCATTGTAGCTTTATTTTCTTCCTTCGATGATGTCATAATTCTTTGATTTATTTTCCATGAAACTTTGCAGTGCTGATTGCATTCTAACAACCAGTCACCTCCTCTAGCCTTTACTGCCCAGTTTCCTGAGAAAAATACTTTCAACACGCAGTTCCAGCAGAAGATTTTGAAATTCTTTGAAAACATTGTCTCTGGATATGCTAACTCTGCTTTTGACCTCTCTTCTGGAGAAATCTGAGGATTTTAGGTCTTCCCTTGAAACTGAAAAGCCAAGCGGTGTGCTGAAAGCCCTGTTCCATGTGTTAGTGCTCTGGTGTGTTTTAGGTTACTTATTTGCAGCGTACTGTCTGAAGAGGCTCATGTGCAACTCTGTGAAGGTGCATGGGGTAGTCACTAGGGGTTGGGGATGGGAGTGCTTGGAGTCCTGGGAGTGCTTTATTAGCTAGTTGGAGCCTATAATTTGAGTATCTTATGATGGAATTCATGAGCTAGTTAGTACGACTCTCAGCTGTTCCACAAGATTATGACTACAAATCCCACTCCGTTTTCCTTGCTTCTAGAAGTTCCAAGGATCTTTAGCTAGCTCAGGCTTTGGACACTGGAATTTCGTGTTTCCCCTGAGGGAGAAGAATCCAGTTGAAAGGTTCTCTCTGGGCACTGAACTGATATGGAATGGCAGAAATGAAGCTTTCATCGGGGAGCTAGAATCTTTCAGATGAATTCTAGACCTCTGTGATCATCTTGTCACCTGTGGATAGTTGTTAAAAGTAGAGTTGCTTCGAAAGTTTGAAGGCTAAAACCTATTCTGCAATCTTTTTGAACCCAAGAATTTATATTTCTTGTCCTTAGTAATTGTTTGCTTCTTCTTAAGTATTAAAAAGAATAATTGAGAAATGGGGGCATTGTATTTTCAGAACAACCATCAAAAACATTGCACTCCATCCTGGGCCATACTCCTTATGCACTGGAATGCCTGTGTGTCTTTTAGGCATTTTCAAAGTGAATATTCAGATTCATGAGGTCTGGTTCAGCAGATCTGGGGTAGACCCTGAGATTTTTTTACATCCTAATAAACCTCCAGGTGCTTTTGAAAGAGCACACTGCCCTAACACTGACTTAACAAGTTGCACTGTCTCCTAAATAGTTGCCCTCGCATCAGAACTGTAGAGAATTGCACTGATAAAGTACAGTCAAGACAGAGATGCTGCAGAGAGTCATCTGGGGCATGTGTGCTGACATCACAGTGCTTACTAGCTTGGAATATGAACAGCCAAACTGCCTGTTTAGTCCAGCAATGTCATTGTTGGTATATAATTGACCTCTACAACCAAAAATCAAAGTTGATTAAGCTGCTTCTAGTAGAAATAGTTTTAGCAATTAGAAAACCTGACCCCATGGATAGTATGGTATGCTAAACTCTGTTGTAGCTAGAGCCTCTGCTTCAAGAATTCTCGTACACCATGTGCAACATTTTGAGCACACTTTTGACATGTTTGTCAAAACATAATGTTATATCCATTATGAAAGGAGGAATTTTTCTCCTGAATCAGTGAGGGTAGGAAGTGCCTTCTCTCATTTTTCTGGGTGCCATTGGACTCAACGTCCTGTATGTGGGGTGGAAATAGCCACAACTGCCTTGTACAGGTAAAATACACAAGTGCCAAGTAACTGCCAAACAATCGCTCTCACCTTCTCTTCCAAAAAGTCTCCTCCTTGGGGTGCTGTTTGCTCCGTTGTTTATTGGTGTATATGAAAGTGAAAATTTAGAAAAGCATTTCTTCTAAACTGCCCTGTTTTAAAATTTCGGGCTCACTGATTTTTAGCATACAAAAAAACAGACCTGAACTCTGGCAGCCTCGCCAGTCTCGTTCTCCGGGAAAGGTCCATGATGAGGCTCTGGAAGAAAGTGCCTGATTGTAAATCAGCACGGCAGTACTTTTCAATGACATTAGCTTCAGGATTTGGGCACGATCGCCTTCGAGTGCCTAACACGTGATTTCTTCCCACCAGCTATTTCCCAGGTGGTGTTACTTCACTTTCATTCAGCCCTGAGGTCTGGACTCTGCTTCTGTAGTGTTTCTGGAATCTAAGCTGTTCAATCCTTTCGCCTGTGATTGCCTTCACATAGATTCTTCTTGTTTCCCCTGAGCCTTTGCAAGAATGTCTACAAGGTTGATCCATGCTAGTCGCTGCCGTGTCTTGTCCTTGGAGTCTGTCTTTCTAAAGAGGCCGATCATGTTCTTATTCTGATCATCCTGTTTTCTTCCCTAAATACCCTGTTTCCTTCCTGGCGCCTGTGAGATCAACTGAGACTTCACTGTAGCTTCTTAAGACGGTGTCAATTTTCATCCCACCCTTGTGTGGCGGTCAATCTCTGCCAGCACCAAACTCTGATACTTCATTCAGCACGCAGTGTGTTGTCATCATTTTGCCTTTGCCCCTCTGCCTGGACTCTGTTCCTCTACCTTGCTTCTTAGAAAGCTAGTTTTTGTTTTTGGTTCATTTTTGTTACTCGCAAAAGAAATGGTATTTCTTTAGGAAACGCTTCCCGAGACCTCCGTCCTCTCTCCCCACAGCTCCCTCCTGGAGTTGTGAAGCATACTGATTATCTGTGCCTCTCCCACTAGGCTGTAAGCCCTGTAGTTTAGTGTGTTTCTAGCCTTTTCACTCTAGAGAAGGAGCTAATGTATTATAGTTGCTTAAAGAATAATTCTTAAGTAATATCTAGACAGTGAGTATAGAAAGACAGGCAGAGAGAAAGAAATGGACTAAATCTCCTGAATGATAGGTTACTTATTGATGATAGAAAAAAACAGAATATGGATACATGTATCTGTATGCATGCATTTCCATGTATCTACACATAATGGACACACATGGCCCATAATGTAATTCTAAATAAGGAGTCTCTCTTATTACACGATCATTAGCAAGAATAAGCCCTGATAATTTATATTTTTGAGGAGCCACATTTCCTGACTCTGTGTGGACCCAATGCTGTATGTTTATTTCATTTTAGAACGATGGAGATCTTCGGCTTGTGGCTAATTCTGTGGTGTGGGTTCCAGAAGGGGGAATGCTACAAATCACCAACCGAATCTTACAAGCAGAAGCTCCAGGTGCCAGAGCCGAGGACATCATCTACAAGATCACACACGATCACCCCCAATTTGGTAACTTCATTCTTCGGCATGATTTCATGTTGCATTTGGAGGTTTAGGACTTGTTTTACACAATGCCAGCATCAAGGCTATAATTCATATGAGCTGGGCTTTTTAATCTTTCATATATCTCACAAAAAAACCCAGACTATTCATGATAATTGTCACACTGTACATCTTTATGGTAGTGTGCTGCATTTTATAAACACGTTATATGTAACATCTAAGACAATCTGTTTTTAAGTAATTTCATTTTGCACGTGAATAGACTATGATAAAGCAGTTTTCTAACAGTCACTTAGTTAACAAAAATCAGTGAATTTTAGAGTTCTGGCTCTCAAATTCCCCCTGTATCTTTCTCAGACCATGTATAAATTTCTTTTTCTAATTAAAAATGTTTATTTAAATTTATTATGTTTGTGTGTATGTGTGACTGTTTTTAAGTAATTTCATTTTGCACGTGAATAGACTATGATAAAGCAGTTTTCTAACAGTCACTTAGTTAACAAAAATCAGTGAATTTTAGAGTTCTGGCTCTCAAATTCCCCCTGTATCTTTCTCAGACCATGTATAAATTTCTTTTTCTAATTAAAAATGTTTATTTAAATTTATTATGTTTGTGTGTATGTGTGAGTGCATGGGTGGCACGGTGTGTGTGTGTGTGTGTGTGTGTGTGTGTGTGTGTGTGTTTGTTTGTTTGTAGGTAAGAGGACAACTTGGAGGAAGTGGTTTGGTGGCAAGCATTTTTACATACTGACCCAACTTGCCAGCCTAGAATTCTACTTAATAAGGCTTAAAAAGAAATAACACAGAAATACTCTTCTCCATTGTTCTCCATTGTTGCTTCTTCCAGAGAGATAATACCATAACCTGAAAGATTTCCCACTCATCAATTAGAAATGCTGAATACAAGTTAGCAAGAGTTTGGTGTAATTAACTGACCTCCCAAGAATAAAGCACCAGCAGCAGAGACAGCACTGAAGTCAGCCTATGCATGAACTAGTTGCATAACCCTCTTGAGATAAGCTGTGGGCATCTCAGCAACCCAGAACCTGTGTTGTAGTTAGAACTAAGAGACTGTCTAAAACCAGGACTCTGGAAAGGCAGACTTTCCCGTGGAGTAACAGAATAGGAAACAAAAAGTTCTGCACCAAGAGATGCTTAAGAAACCCAGCTGTCTTTCTCAGGATTCAGAGAACATGTGTTGAAATGTGTTCAAAGCTGCAAGCCTTTTTCTCCTGCAGATCAAGATCAAGTTATGCTGTGTGCCTTGTCCAAGATGCCCAGAACTGAGAAGTTATATCAAAGTTCATCTCAGGACAATGATGCCCCTTACATTCCTTGCAGAAGCCACCAGGGACAGCTGTAGAAGGTCCACTCTCAACCAGGCTACACAGAACTTTTAATGATGGGACTTCCCCTATCACTCTCTGCTTTATCCCTTTGAAGTGGGGTCTCCTTCTGAACCTGGAGCTCACGTGTTTTTTTGTTGTTGTTGTTGTTGTTGTTTTTTGTTTTTTTTTTTGACTAGACTAGCAGGCAGCAAGGCTGAGATCTTCAGTCTCCAGCCTCCACAGCGCTAGGATTACTGACACACAAGAGACCATGCACAGCTTGTTCCATGGGTGTTGGGATCCACACTCAGGTCCTCCTCCTGGTTGTGTCACAAGCAGTCAACCACTGACTGAGCCACCTCTCCAACCCTGACCTTATTTTTTTAAGACGTGGTGTCTTACTGACCTAGAGCTCATAGTTCTGACTAGACTGGCTACCAGACAGCCCCCAGGATCTGCCTGATTCCACCTCTCCGGAAATGAGGTTACAGATGCATACTGACATATCTGGCTTTTACATGGGCGCTAGGGATCTGAACTCAGTTCCTCATACTTACACAGCAAACATTTTACCCACTGAACCATCTCCCCAGGCCTTGATTAACACTTCTGAAGATCACTGGTCAGCTGTTCATGGACTATTGCCTCTTTGGATCTGTTTGGTAGTTTCTCATTTCTGGATTAGATTCTGTTTTCCACTTTCAGTGCATCTCACTGAGGCTCTATGTTATCACTGTTTTATTGTTGACAGTATAATTCCTTCACTGCAGAGTAATTTTCCTCTTTGTAATTAATAAATACCCTGTTTTCATTGTACTTTCACTGAATCTGAGCTCATTAAGTCCTTTTTCATCTCTAAAAGACTGTAACTTTTGTGCTGTATTAAATTCCCTAACTTTGGGCTGGAGAAATGGCTCAGTAGTTAAGAGCACTGGCTGTTCTTGCAGAGATTGTTCTGGATTTGAACAACCATCCGTAACTACAGTTTCAGGGGAATAGAACACCCTCTTCTGACTCCACAGGCACTGCACAACACAGGTGCACTTACACGCGTGCAGTCAGTACATACTCATACACATAAAATAAAAATAATAAATAAAATATTTTAAATTCCCTAACTTTATCTTGATTATTAAATGCCAAAAAATAAGCCCTCAGCTTCCATAGAAACAGCCCAATGTTTCATTAAATATTAAGCGGAGTAGTGCTGAATTAAATGGTTTTTAAGTAGATGAAAGTTTGCTACTTCTGCCTAATACATGCCATGTAGGCTTTATTGTGACCCTCTTCTACTATAACTCTCTTAATTAACTTCTTCTCAGGAACATAATCTCCGTGTGTCCATTTCTCCCCATTAGTAATAATCAAATCATGTTGCCCTAGGGAACCATTCAAGAATGAGAAAGGTTTGAGGAACTAGACACCTTCAGAACACAAACTACTTACAGTCATCCATCATAGTGAGATGTTTCTGTGGGCCTTCGTCACATGGGCTCCTGGCCACAATGAACTTTAGAACCTTCAGCAGGGCATTGAGCTTCGTATGGATATAGGAACAGAATAGAGCACAAGTCGTTTCTCTAGTACGCACATAAAGGAGGTAAGCTCAGCCAGGCATGGTGGTTCTTGCCTGTAATCCTAGCACTTTGGAAGCTATGGCAGGAGGATTGCTACTAGATTGAGATCCAGGCCAGCTTGGGTTCCAGAATGAGTCAGGGTCTCAAAAATGAATAAATACTGAGAATAAATGTCTGAGAGATGCTCAGCCCTAAGTGACACCTCTTCAGTGGAACCTCTACACCCAAGGCTTATGGAACGTAGCAGAACAGAAGGTAGAGAGAATACTAAAACATCCCTCAACTCTGACAAGCAAAACTTCCTCATACAACAGAGGGCATTGCACACAGAAGGCCACCCTGACCAAACTGTAGAAAATAAGAGACTGCAAAGTATATCCCTGGATAGGACTCCTGTATTAAACCTCACCCATCCATGGCTCAGGGACCATTGAGAAAGAGAAGGAGGAAAAGATTGCAAGAGCCAGAGTTGGTGCATGAACATAAGGAAACAGAGGCTTTCAGGCCACTGGGAACTTGTTCATATAAACATACAACAATGGTGACAGCATGCACAAGACCCATGCTGACTCAATCAGACAAAACCTCAGCATAAAATGAGGGAAATGTGCAGCAGACCCCAACCCTAGCCAAAGAACTATTGGCAACTGATTACTACTGGGTGCGGGAGAGTTGATCTTCTTTAAGGGAGTGACTCTAGATAGACTGATTAGACTCCAGTGGATGAACTTGCACCGAGGGACATCTGGGTACAAATGCTTGACCTGATAGGACTTAACGTATATGTCAGAATGCCTGAAATCCAGTGGGGGTGGGGGACTATGAAGGGGCATGGATTGGGGAGAGGGTCTAAATTTGCTTAAGATCGATTATATGAAATACACAAAAACTCAATAAAATATTTTAAAAATAAATATATATACAAAATAAATAAAATTTTTAAAAGACCTAAATTTAGTTGCTTTCAGATTCAGCATTGTTTTCAAATGTAAGTTTCAATTAATCTGTTGATTAATTGCTGCAGAGGTTTGCATGTAGTATATGTAAGTACCTTGGGCATCATTTAAAAAGGAATCAACTCAGTCTAGTTCATTCCCAACTCTAAATTATTTATCATAGTGTAAGAAAGTATTAATAAAAATGACCTAATGCCAACATAATTCATGGAAATTCAAATGAGATTTTAGTTCTAAGAACAATTTTCTCTTCAAAATTCTTCATTAAAACATAAACTTTCGCAGTAAATCCCAGAGATGACTTTCTGGTTGGCAAGCAGAATTTTGCATCTATAAAGTATCATTTTCTTGTAGTCATAGTATGATCAAGGCAGCAGTGAAGCCCTATACAAAATGCTGGTGAGGCAAGCCAGGCTAAGCAGGCTCACACCAAGAGACATCTGGGTACACAAACTTGACTTGATAGGCCTTAACATATGAGTTAGAATATGTGAAATCCTGTGGGCAGGCTGTGAAGGGGTACAGATAGGGGTGGTCTAAATGTGATTTAAATGTATTGTATAAAATCACAAAAATTCAATAAAAAATTACATTGAAAAAAATGTTGGCTCTGCTTCTCTGTGGCTTGTGCCACACAGAACTTATTTCCTTTGTCTTCTCATGGGCTCCTTACCAAAGCACCGGCACTCAACACACATGGTGGTGAACTCTGTTTATCATGGCTCTTGACCTGTCCTTTCGTAGTATGCCCATCAGTGGCATCCAGCCACCCTGCTGCAAGGTGACCCGTCACTCCTTCCTCTTACATCCTCCAAAGCTGTGCTTGTCAATGTGAATTGTTTCTGTCCCTCACTGGATTTGAATCTGCTTATTTCTTTGTAATCTCTCCCCTGTTAACTTAGTCCAGGTCTCTGTCTCTATTTTAGATTTTGTAGTAACCTCATAATCGGTTAAGCTGTCCATCCTCCTTAACAGGATTTTCAAGGCTAATAGACCCTCTATGTCTATATCTCTATATCTATATCTATGTCTATATATCTATATCTCTATCATCTGTATCTATATCACACACATTCTGTGTTCTAAATGGAGTTTTTTGTTTGTTTGATTTGTGCTGGGGATTGACCCTGAGGCCTCATACATGCCAGGTAAGGACTCTACCATCAAGTTATGACTCCTGCCCCTACATTCTTTGTTCTAAATTGGTGCATGCCACTCACCTGCAGAGCTTCTCCCAGTGGCTCCCAGTTGCGTATGGGGCTGATCTCCAGGATCCACATCACAAACTGCATCTGGATTATCTTTGAATCCTTCGACCCCAGAATGCCTAACACAGTAGATACTACCCAATAGGTACCCAACCACAATTTATTAAATTGGAATTAGTCCATACCCTATAATACCTGTTAATCTCTATGAAAGTGATTTTTTATTTGAAAATATATTTATTTCATAGGCATAGTTAGGGAGGTTCTGCTTAAGAGCAAACAACTAGGAAATAAGCTGTTGAATTTTTCTACCCTGTTCTTTCCATTTTTATTGTGACAATTTCCTTCAGAGTGGTTTGCAACTGTACTCACACTCATGAACAGTTCTGATCCTGGGAAGCCATGTCTGTTAACAGCATCTTATGATGTGAATTTGAACTAGAAGAGATTGGTGATAGAATTTTTGACTTAGGAGCAAATGAAAAATAGTACAATAGAACCAGAGGGAGTTGATTCCCCCACACGATTCTACAAAGAACAGTGATGTATTTCTCTTATTTCAGTTTTTCATTACCATTCAGTATATTTTGTTCATATTAACTTGAATTTAGTGCATATAAATATTAGAATGAGTGTTTACTTGGAGTTAGAAGATAGATTTCTCTAGAGAATCAAAATGTGATGCCAGTTTTGAGAAAAGCAATGTACTGTCAGTTATCCAATATGCCTAATGTAGTAAGACTTTGGTATCTTCCTACACTGCATTTAAAATGGAAAACTCTCTCTCTCTCTCTCTTATTTTGCACTCTTAAAATGGTAGAGTGCCTTCTTTGGAATTTAATGTTAGATGCTGAATATAGTTTGTTTTCAGAAGTTCATCTACTTTTCAGTGTGGTCTTTACTTGAAGGCATATTGTTGTGAAATTTTAATTGTTTCTATAACACCTCTATACTTGTGATCTCACTTAAAGATGATAGTAGCTTCAGGTGAAGAATAAGCAGTAAAAAACAGGTGGTGTTTGGATTCAGATTTACTTGATTCAGTTCAAATAAAGTTTAGCAAGTGAAGGAACAGAAAGCACAATAGTTATCTAGTGGGATAAATACTATCTAGTAGGATAATAATGGTAATAAAGCTTCAGGGCCAAGAATATGAACTTCAGATTGAAATCCCCACTCATCTGCTGACCTGCAATGGATTTCTGAATTTCCCTGACACTGAAGAACTTCATCTTTATAAGGAGATGATAGCATCATTCAGGACTAAGAGAGAACAGCATCAGGGATGGCCAGCATTCTTTTTAAGCACCTCTGAAGTATGTCAGCAGGTTGAATGCCCCTGACCCAACATGCTTGATACCTGAAGTGTTTCAAATTTGGATTTTTTAAAAAATTGGAATATTTTAAATAAGTGGTAAGATATCTTGGAGATGGGGCCTAAATCTAAGTACATTATAATTTGTGTTTCATGTGCATATATCTATATATCTATCTAGACAGATAGATGATAGATAGATAGATAGATAGATAGGTAGATAGATCCTGAAAGTGATTGTGTACAGTATATTTAATGTTCCTTTTTTTTTTTTTTTTTACCATGTCCTGTTATATGAGATCTATTCATCTATTCAACATGGAATTTTCTACTTTTAAAAGCTTGGGATCGTTGATCTTTTTGGGTTCTGGATTTTCCAATTGGGGGTGCTCAATTTGTATTCTTTTCACTTTACCCATGAATAATAGCAGCTTAGGAGTGTCAGTAAGGTCATACATCTTGGAGAGACAGACTGGGTTTGAGCTATCACACAGAGTGAGGCATATCTATGTGCTTTTAACAATATTAGTTGTTAGGAGCTGGAGAGATGGCTCAGTGGTTAAGAGCACTGGTTGTTCTTGCAGAAGACCCAGGTTTGAATCCCAGCACCCACATGGCAGCTAACAACTGTCCGTAACTCCAGTCCCAGGGGACCGACAGCCTCTTCTGACTTCTGTGGGCATTGCACGACATGGGTGCACTTACCTACATGCAGGCAATACACACATACACATGCAATAAAAATAAATAAAATTTTTAAAAAACAAAAACAATATTAGTGTTAATATTTTTATTGGACAGAATTCTCTCAAGAATGTCTTCCACTGAGTTTTTTTTTTTACTCTCTCCATTGTGTTTATAACCTAAAACTTGTTAATTAGAAGACATTTTGTGTTACTTAAAAAGTTGTGTGTAGACATGAATCCATTCAGTGCCTAGTATGTGTCTGTTTACAGCTTTCACTACAATTTGAGTCTCATTATGTAATCTTAATAGATACTAGTCAGCAACTTTATACCTTAACTGGCCTTGAATGACTTTTGAAAAAACAGAGACTTCTGTGTCTAAAGGAGGATTCAATGATATATACTGAGTTTTATGTTAATGTCCTTTCGTTCACTTTATAAAAATAAAGAAGTACATAATTTCTTATGTTAAAAAAGAAGAAATGATGGGAAAGAAGGAGGGCTCTGCTTGCTTTTTCCAGAGACCCTCTCTAACAGTGTGGTCTGTGTTTCCCTAGGCGAGGTGGTCCTTCTGATGAATATGCCTGCTGACAGTCCCGCCGAAGGGCAGCACCTGCCTGATGGAAGAATGGTGACCCCCACCAGCACCTTCACCCAGCAGGACATCAATGAAGGCGTAGTGTGGTACAGGCACTCAGGAGCTCCAGCCCAGAGCGACTCCTTCCGTTTCCAGGTGCCCTCCATGTCCTGAACCCCCTTATTCATGGACAACATGAACCATTCTCTACACTTGCCTCTGTAGGAGAAGAGAGTGAAATTAATAGCATTAAGAATTTTATGAATGTGTTCATTTAGATATATCCACAAGCAGAGTAATCCACAACAAAAAGACAAATAATGAGTGGAGCGTTCAGAAAAAAATTTCTTCTAACTATAAAAAGTAATATATGGAGAAAAAAGTCTTTTTCACTGATAAAATTATGCACTTACAGCCAAACTCAAACTGTTATTAGCTATACTTTGGCAAATAATAGCATCTTTGTGCTGAAATTTCTTCTGTGAAATAGAATTATTGTGAGGATTTTAATTAGCATGTATAAGACATTTAAAGAGAAATTCTTAGATGTGCTGTACTGTCAACTTGACACACCCGAGAAGAGCTGGAGAATTTCCTCTATTGGATTGGCCTGTGGATGTGTCTGTGAGGCATTTTCTTGATGGCTGAGTGATGTCACCAGGCTCAGGCCACTGTGAGGTGCCACCCCTGGGAAGGTGGTCCTGGTTTGTGTAAGAAAGTAGGCTGAGCACAGACCAGACCAGGGGAGCAAGTAAGCAGCATCCTCCGTGGTCTTCAGTTCCTGTCTCTGGATTCCTGCCGTGGGTTTCTGCCCTGGCTCTTCATGATGAACTGAAAACTATAAGGTGAAACAAACACTCTCCTCTCCAGGTTAGTTTTACTCAGTGTTTTAGCACAGAAGTGGAAAGTAACCAGAAAGAGTACCTACAGGTTTGTTATTAGCACTTAGGAAAATTGGTGAAATAGTGAACCATGGTGAGACCCACACAAACTAAAGAGCAGGAAGAATAATGCCATGTTCAGTTTGGGGCCATTAGGAATAAATCCAGAAAGTCCTAATCAAAAGTAAATAACAGTGTTAAACCGATTGGGATATTTAAATATTTTTTTGGTCTTTTTGAGACAGGGTCTCCCTGTAACCCAGCTGGCCTTTAACTCACTATGTAGACATGGCTGGCCTTGAACTCACAGAAATCCGCCTGCCTCTGCCTCCCAAGTGCTGGGACTAAAGGCATGCGCCACCACACCCAGTCAAAATATTCTTTTTTAAAAATAGCATTTTATTGATTCTTTGACAGTTTTTTACAAAGTGTTTTGATCATATGCAGACCCCCTCCCCCACTTCCTCCCAGATGCAACCCACACCTCCTTACTCCCCTCACTTCATATCCTCTATTATTTTTTACTCCTATCCGATCTAATCTGCGTTCCCCATAAAATGTCCTTGAAGGAAATTAAAGTAATAAACTATTAAGAACTTTTGAGGAGGAGGAAATAACTTAAACACTTACATGAAGTGGACAATATTTTATACAAAAGAAAATTGATGATACTGTTTATTATTGAGCAGGAAAGCACAAAATGAGTAGGCCAAGTGTTTAACCCAAGAAACTAAAGAGCCACAAAGAAAAGCCAAGGAAATAAAACAAAGACTTCATAGAGAAAAGCAGAAGAATTGATTAATTATAAAACGCTACAAATGATAAATGAGTACAAAGTCCGATTCTTTGTAAATAACAATAAAATTACACAAACCTCTGGCAAGAAGGAGTTGGAAGTAAAAATTAAACAGAAATACAAAGAAATGGTGAACTATAAGGGAGAAAACATGTTTAAGCAGGAATATAAAGAGGAATTTGGGAAGATGTCATAGAAAATATATCTGTTGGGGCTGGAGAGATGGCTCAGTTGTTAAGAGCACTGACCTGGAAGAAGACCAGGTTTGAATCCCAGCACCCACATGGCATCTAACAACCATCTAACCATCTGTAACTCCAGTTCAGGGGATCTGACACTCTCTTCTGTCATCCGTGGGCACAGCATGACACAGGTTCACTTACGTACATGCAGGCAAAGCACTCATGCACATAAAAAAAATAACTAAATTTATAAAAAATATTTTATTACTTTTATTTTATGTGTATGTGTATATTGCCTGCATGTAGGTAAGTGCGCCCGTGTCATGCAATGCCCACAGAGGACAGAAGAGCCTGTCGGATCCCCTGGAACTGGAGTTACAGACAGTTGTTAGCTGCCATGTGGGTGCTGGGATTCGAACCCAGGTCTTCTG